GGAGAGGCGGAGCCTGAGGGAGCCCTATATAGCGGGGCGGAGAGCGGGCTGGGAGCGGGCGGGAGGGAGAGGAGGCGAGCGCTGCGGAGGGGCGAGGAGGCTGGAGGTGGCGGGGCGAGAGGGGGGCTAGCGCGTGGCATCTCCTTGGGCTTGCGTAAAGCCTTTTCCTCTGTGATCAAAATCTTGATTATCTACCTAATTTAGCGAATCTTGTACAGCGTATGTTTTTACGCAGCGTGAAAATGTTAGCATACATTTTCCATTAAATGCGAATAAAAACAAAAGAACAAAAAATTAAATTATGTTTATACATTTACATGTTATAATTACATAAAATGCTGGTATATTCTTTTTGTTTTTATTTTTTATTTTTTATTTTTTTATTGCTTTTTATCTTTTTTTATTGCTTATATTTTTATGTTTATATTTTTATTGTTTATTTTTTTTTTACTGTTTTATTTTTTTTTGAAACAGGTCTCTTCTGTTGTCCTGGATAGAGTGCCGTGGATCATCCTCGCTCACGGCAACCTCAAAATCCTGGGCTCAAGCGATCCTCTGCTCAGCCTCCGAGTACTGGACTACAGGCATGTGCCCCCATGCCCGTCAATTTTTTATATATATATTTAGTGTGTCAGCTAATTTCTTCCTATTTTTTAGTGGGACGGGTCTCCCTCTTGCTAAGGCTGGTTTTGAACTCCTGAGTCAAACGATCCTCCTGCCTTGGCCCCAGAGTGCTTGATCACAGGCATGAGCCAGCCGGCCCGCTGTATTAGAATCTTGATTGCTACACCTAATTTAGATGAATTCTTGTACCGTTTGTTAATTTGTTTTACAGGTGAAAATGTAGACTTAAGTACATTATGTATTATATCAATTTATATGTTAATAAATAATTACATAAAATGCTGGGTATATTCTTTTTTGTTTTTATTTTTTGTTTTATTTTATTTTTTTGAGACAGAGTCTCCTTCTGTTGCCCTGGCTAGAGTGCCATGGCATCGCAGCCGCAGTCAAGCTCAGACTCCTTCAGCGATCTCCGCTCAGCCCCGAGTACCTGGGACTACAGGCATGCGCCACCATGCCGGCTAATTTTCATATATATATTTATGTCCAGCTAATTTCCTTTCTATTTTTAGTAGAGACGGGTCTCGCTCTTGCTCAGGCTGTCTCCAAATCCTGAGTCGAAAGGATCTCCCGTCCTCGGCCTCCCAGAGGCTAGATCACAGGCCGTGTAATTAGAATCTTGATTAGCTACACCTAATTGATGAATCTTGTACCGTGGTATTATGTTTATACACAGTGTGAAAATAGACTTAATACATTATTTATACAATTTATATGTAATATATATTAATAAATGCTGGTATATTCTATGGAAAACCTTCCAGAAAGAACCACCCCAATTGACAGAGCTTTTGTCTGAGACAAATGAATCATCACGAGATTTCACTCTATACTTTTCAGAACACCTTACTTCCCGGTTGCTATGAGATCTTGGCACTTCTGTTCCTTCTTTTGTAAAGTAGACATAATGATAGTTCATTTGTAAGACTGAGAATTAAATAAATGACTGTGCTTCTCAAAATATTAGTCCCCGATCAGCATCCTTTGGGAATTTACTTTAAAAATGCACGTTTTGGGGCTTGACAGCTCTGCAGTCCGGTGGAACGCGTGAAATGAATCTGAAAGCTCAGTGACTGTAAAGCATCAGTAAATGCAGCTACTGTTACTAACTGTAATTTTATCTCCTCTTTGTCTCTTCTCCTCTGAAACTTAAAAAGGCTGCTTGGGCTGGGCATGGTGGCTCAGGCCCTGCAATCTACCATTCTGGGAGGCCAAGGCGGGCAATTTCTCGATGTCAGGAGTTCGACCGCAATAGCTAACTCCGAGCATTTATTATGCAGGCAGACACTTCTGCCATGATTTCATCTTCCTCTATGTGCAGACGTTCTATTATCTATCCTCACTTTCACATGAAGAAACCGAGGCTGGCGTGGATTTAAGTAACCCTCCCAAGAAGTCACTGTCAGGGTTTCTGTCGCGCGTCCCGGCCGGGAAAAGTCCCTAACCTCAAGTTTCTCGCAGTTGCAGGTTTGGTTAAATGGCTAGGGGCTCTTCGCGTCTGCCCCACTCCTCTGTTGCTGCGTTTAGTGCTGTCAGCCTGCACCTGTCCCTAAACTAACAGCAGCTGGGACTCTAATTTGCTTTCTCTGAGTTTAAACCCTTCCATTCTCCCAGAATCAAGGAATGCGGCCGAGCGCGGGGCTCAAGCTGTTAATCCTAGCACTCTGGGAGGCCGGAGCGGGTGGTTGCTCGAGGTCAGGAGTTCGAAACGAGCAAGAGCGAGACCCTGTCTCTACTAAAAAACAGATAAATTAATTGGCCAACTAATATATATAGAAAAAAATTAGCTGGCATGGTGGCGCTATGCTGTAGTCCAGCTACTCGCGGGAGGCTGGGCTGAGGAGGAGGATCGCCTGACCTCGGAGTTGGAGGTTGCGTGAGCGAGGCTGAGCCATGCATCACTCTAGGCCTGGCGACACAGTGAGACTCTGTCTCAAAGAAAATGCGAGAGCTCACAAACACGTAACATTTTTAAACTTCATTCAAAAACCGCGCCTAGGGTATGTATCTTAGCACTAATTCCATTCAATCGGCAAACTTTCCTAAACACCAGCAGTAATAATATTGGTAATTTCCTAGTCACTGTAACTTCCTTCTGAATCAAAAAGGAAAAATAAATCATGTCTTCAGACTTTGCGTTAGTATATTTTTATCTGCTTCCAAGTGTTTGAATTGGTCTGAGTAAATCCAGCTGATTAAAACGGTACCAGGTGCAGATTTAAAATTCGGTTACCTTCAAAAATTTCACTTTAGAAATCTGCCTATCGCTATGCAGCTAACCAAAATACTTTTTCTCGTGCATTTGAATAGGAAATCTTTTTTGTTACCAACTAGCTCCTGAAAAAACAGGACCTTTGAAGCTTAGAAGACAATTTACAACGAAATCCCCCTTGCCAGTTCTTTGGACTGGGAAACAAAACATCACCTTATTTACTAAATACTGCACTTCCTTAGTGAAAGTTGTCACAAACATTGGAATAACCTAAGAGAATCTTTTGGAATGGAATCGTGTTTCTGTCCAAAAATACTAGGTGCAGGCTAGGCGTGGTGGCTCATGCCTGTCATCCTAGCACTCTGGGAGGCCAAGCGGGCGATTGCTCGAGGGTCAGGAGTTCAAACCAGCCCTGACAAGAGCGAGACCCCCGTCTCTACTATAAATAGAAGAAATTAACTGGCCAACTAATATTAGTAGAGAAAAATGAGCCGGGCATGGTGGCGCATGCCTGCAGTCCAGCTACTCGGAGGCTGAAGGCAGGAGATTCTTGAGCCCAGGAGTCTGAGGTTGCTGTGAGTGAGGCTGACGCCATGGCACTCATCTGCCTGGGCAACAAAGGGAGACTCTGCTCCCACCAAAAAAAAAAAAAATACTAGGTGCAGAACAATTAGTTCA